GAGTAAACAGAAAAATACCTCCCTACTTATAAAATATCAACCAAAATGGCACCTGGTGATACTCTGACATTGTGTCCTATGTTTACATTTCTAAATTTCAGTTTCTCATTCAACATGATCTAAACTGCTTTACTTTTCACTAAGAGGAAGAATTGCGAAAGAAATCAGCCCACAAATGGCTTACACTGTACACAAAAGAACACAGATCAAAAAAACATCAACAGGCTGGGAATGGTGGCTCACGCCTGTAATCCTAGTACTTTGGGAGGCTGAAGTGGGTGGATCACTTGAGCTCAGGAGTTCCAGACCAGCCTGGCCAACGTGGTGAAAGCCCGATACGAAAAGAAAATTAGCCGGGCATGGTGGTGGGTGCCTATAATCCCAGCTACTTGGGAGGCTGAGCCTGGAGAATCGCTTGAACCCGGGAGGCGGAGGCTATAGTAAGCCAAGATCGCGCCATTGCACTCCAACCAAGGCAACAAGAGCAAAACTCCATCTCAAAAAAAAAAAAAAAAGATCAACAAGAACCCCTACTACTGGAGTTAACAGATTATAGCAGGTTACAGGTAGGGCTCTGTTGGGAAGAACAAAGCAATCAGAATCATGGGCTGATGAGGCTGTCCCTACTATAAAAGTCTCAAGCAAAAATGCTCCAATCCTGTATCCTCTGTATTTCCCTGAGCAGTTAAGGGGGAGAAAAAGTCAGGTAAGCAGCTGTAAAGTTATGTCTAAGTCACTTGTGCACATAAAGTAATATAGGTGAGCGATGACCATTTAAAAAATGTTCTAGTCTGAAGCAAAAGGAACTACAGCTCATGATTATCTAGGGTTTCAAGTGCTTTTCTTTTTTCTCTTTTTTTTTTTTTGAGACACAGTCTCATTCTGCCTCCAGGATGGAGTACAGTAGCGCAATCTCGGCTCACTGCAACCTCTACCTCCTGAGTTCAAGCAATTCTCCTGCCTCAGCCTTCTGGGTAGCTGGGATTACAGGCACCTGCCACCACACCCAGCTAATTTTTGTATTTTCAGCAGAGATGAGGTTTCACCATGTTGGCCAGACTAGTCTCAAACTCCTGACCTCAGGTGATCCGCCCGCCTTGGCCTCCCAAAGTGCTGGGATTATAGGTGTGAGCCACAGTACCCAACCTCAAGTGCTCTTCCTTGAGGAAGTCACACATGATTTCACTCCACAACTTTTATTTCATAGGAGCAGTGTATACCTTAGTATCCTATCCCTTCTAACCCAACCACTAACTTCAAATCAAGCCTCCAAGACAGAAAATCTTTACTCTCCTCATGGTGGTAAAAAGGGCAAAAAGCAAGGCCGGTGGCGGCGGCTAAAGCCTGTACCCCAGCACTTTGCAAGGCCAAGGTGAGAGGATAACCTGAGGTCAGGAGTTCGAGACCAGCCTGATTAACATGGTGAAACCCCAACTCTACTAGAATACAAAAATTAGCCGGATGTCGTGGCGGGTGCCTGTAATCTCAGTTACTTGGGAAGCTGAGGCGGGAGAATCGCTTGAACTCAGGAGGCAGAGGCTGCAGTGAGCCAAGATTGCCCCACTGCACTCCAGCCTGGGCGACAGAGGGAGACTCTCTCTCAAAATAAAAAAAGACTTTACTGGCCAGGCATGGCGGTTCACGTCTGTAATCCCAGCACTATGGGAGGCCGAGACGGGTGGATCACCAGAGGTTAGAAGTTCAACACCAGCTTGGCCAACATGCTGAAACCCTGTCTCTACTAAAATTAGCCGATGTGGTGGCGGGTACCTATAATCTGTTACTTGGGAGGCTGAGCAGGAGACTTGCTTGAAGCCGGGAGGCTGAGGTTGCAGTGAGCCAAGATCACCCCACTGCACTCTAGCCTGGGTGACAAGAGCAAGAGTCCACCTCAAAAAAAAGAAAAAAGATTTTTTATTTGTGATTGGAAGAGAGTGTTTCTCTGTCTGCATGGTACCAGAGAAATTAGAAAGTTGGCAGGAACAAATGATGGTTTATGATTTCCTAAATTGTTAAAGGCTAGAAGGCTAGCCCTGTAGAAATTCAAGAAGTGTGTGTGTCAACCATCCTAAAACCATTTATTGTTCTTAGCTGTTTAGCTGAACTCCACTTAAGTTCTGGTGAAACTCTGAAATCCTAAAGGACAATGTTCTCTGACAATGCTGAAAATGGATATAAAACAAAAATGTCATAGCCAAGGACAGATTGACAGTTTTCGATAAACCACTCATAATTTTAGGCACTCCAAATCTTCTGTCATTTAAATTGGGAAGAAGAGGTTATTTAAGAAAGTTTGTTCCCCACCAATATTAAACCTCTGTCTAGATAGTTTCACAATTAATCCAGAGCCAGTCTTTTATACTGCTGACAAGTGAAATACACAGGATAAAGCAAATCATAAGCTTTAAGAGATGTTTAACTACTTTTGCTATTGGAGCAATTACCATGTTTGGATTTGGAGGTGACCATTATAATCTTTCTACAGTCCATCAACAGCGTGAAATGTAGCCACTTTTTGCCTTTTTTTTTTTTTTTTTTGAGACAGAGCCTTGCTCTGTTGCCCAGGCTGGAGTGCAGTGGCATGATCTCAGCTCACTGCAACCTCTGCCTCCCGGGTTCAAGCAATTCTCCTGACTCAGCCTCCTAAGTAGCTGGGATTACAGGCCTGTGCCAACATGCCTGGCTAATTTTTTTGTATTTTTAGTAGAGATGGGGTTTCACCATGTTGGCCAAGCTGCTCTTGAACTCCTGACCTTGCAATACACCTGTAATCCCAGCATTTTGGGAGGCCGAAGTGGGCAGATTACGTGAGGTCAGGAGTTTGAGACCAGGCTGGCTGACATGATGAAACCCCATCTCTACTAAAAATACAAAAAAAAAAAAAAATAGCCAGGCTTGATGGCACATGCCTGTATTCCCAGTTACTTGGGAGGCTGAGTCAGGAGACTCATTCGAACCTGGGAGGCAGAGGCTGCAGTAAGCCAAGATGGCACCACTGCACTCCAGCCTGGGTGACAAAACGATACTGTCTCCAAAAAAAAAAAAAAAATTTATACAATTTGTATTTGTATTATTAACTGTTAGTGAGAGCATCTGACAGAAAACATAAAGACCTACAAAATATCAAAGAGTACAGAGCAAACACCTGACTTAATAGTTGAGAAGTTTGTTTAGGGACCATACATAACCTTTCTTCTTTCTGGGCTGGGGATTAGAGGGGGAACAGGTTTCAAATTAAGGAGCTACTCTATTAAAAATAAAAACCCTGTCACTTTTACTTTATCCTATTTCATGCTTATAATGCAGCATGAGTTGTTCTGGTTCCCTAATACTTTTATAGGAAAGGTAAAAAAAAAAACCCTCTCAACAAACTAAAAATAGAGATACACAAATAAAACTGCAGCTTACAAAGAAGATATGTGTGACTAGATATTCCAGCATCTGAGCTGGAATGTGAAAGGTGGAAGGAATCCTATTCAGCAAATTCTAAATAGCAAAAACGCAATACCAGGCCTGAGGAAATACCAAAATCTCAAGCAAAGCATCCAACATCTGGCAGCGTCTGTTCACAGTATAAAAGCAGCAGTTACCGTGAAACATCAGACACTTCTGATGGAAGAGCTCAGTTTCTGACTCACCTCCCGCCCCCCACCCCACACACATACACACACTTTCTCTCCTACACACAATCTATTGCTTTTCTTGTGGGCCTCCTCAGCCCTCCCTCAATCTTCATTCGTTTCTAACTATTAATACATTGAGCTCTCTACATTAACCTGGCTCCATTCTCCAAATTCCAATCTCCTGATACAGCCTAAGCATTCTTCCAGTCCATTTTCTATTATGCAATACTCCCCCACAACACTTACAGTCACCCCCCGCCCATCTTTCTTCTCAGGCCTAATTTCCAAAACATCACTTCTCGCAGTCTCTACTGCAATTCAAGACTCCATTCCATCTTTCCCATCTGTTTTTAAGGTCTTTGACCTTAATTTCCTACATTCCTTAGGCTCTCTTCAAAATTTCCATTCCTTCCCAAAGTTGGGCAGTTTACAGTTGGGAATTACCAAAGGAGTTAGTCTGAGAAAATGTGTATGTGTGTCTGTGTGCCTGTGCGCGCCTAAGGGTGGGGGTGCGAAGTGAGAAAGGGTGACACATTAGGGGAGTATCTGACGGAAAAGATGGCTTCAACAACTCCCAGACACCGCAACAAAATTCACCATTCCCTACCTCTCCAGAAATCGAAAGCGTCCAATAACTCTTAAATATCTTTTAAGTCCCATGGCTTCTCTTCAACATTTTCATCCAATTAGCCCACAATCAACTTAAGATTCTACCTGCCTCTCACACTAAGTAGTTCCTCTCTACTTCTTAGGCCTCTATTTACTTTCTTAAGTTTCTCTATTCCCTTCCGTTTCTCTTGTTTCCTATCCCCACCTTTTTTTTTTTTTTTTTTTTTTTTTAATGAGACTGGGTCTCACTCTCTCGCCCAGACTGGAGAACAGTGGCCGAATCTCGGCTCACCGCAACCTCTGCCTCCCAGGCTCAAGGGATTCTCCAGCCTCAGCCTCTCGAGTAGCTGGGATTACAGGCGCACGCCATTACTGCCCGGCTAATTTTTATATTTTTAGTAGAGACGAGGTTTCACTACGTTGGCCAGGCTCGTCTCGAACTTCTGACCTCAAATGATCCACCCGCCTCGGCCTCCCAAAGTGCTGAGATTACAGGCGTGAGCCACCGCGCCCGGCCACCTACCCCCACCTTCAATCTCCATCTCTCCTCCTCAAAGACAACCAACGTTTTCGACAACTTCTTAATCAAACTTATCTTTTCCTCAAACTCCTCCTGCCCGCTCGGAAATTCCTATTTGAAAGCCCAATTCGCCCCCGCTTACCGGTAACCCCTAGGACATTCCCAGCTACAGGTACCCTCTTAGGTCTCGCTCTTCCTCCCATCCCATATTCCTCACCAGCTCCCTACCCACGCCCTGTCCGGCTTACCTGAGGACGAGGTACAGGAAGGGACCGCGGGATCAAAGGATGAAAAACCGACCGAAGACGACGGCCCGGAGGAGGCCGACGCCATCTTAGCAGCCCCCTCCCACTCAGAGGCCTGGCTCTCTTTCAATCCGGCTCTTCCTCTTCTCGGAATCGAATCTTCCCAACGTCTCTTTACAGAACCCGCGTTCTCAGGGCCACCTCCCCGCCCCCTCTGGGGCCTCCCTCAGACACGTCGAGCCGGCTCCTGGACCAGCTCAAGGCCACACCATTCGCCTGGCATGGGGGAGAACTCACGTCTCGCACTCCCTCCACAAGTTTAACTGCTTTCCACAGGGGATACTTTCCCTTTTCACAAAAGAGTAAGCTTAAGCTGGCTGCTGGGACCTTGCGTCCAGACCAAGCCACATCTGGGAAAAAAAACGAGGCATGAAAAGTCCAAGAGGAGCGAACGCCCCCTCTCCGTCCTCCCTAGCCACGGCCTGTTTATCGCCCAACCCGTTCGCTTCACTCCGGGTAGCCAAGCAAAATCTGAGCACTGCGCATGCGCCCGACCTTCTCGGCGCATCAGCCCACTGATTGGGGAGAGAAAAGGAGCAAAACCAATCGGGAGGCTGCTAATGGTCACGTGAGGTAGGTCCTCACGCCCTGACGAGTCCACGGGTGGAAGATGTGCGCGCGCGATTTGGCCGACCTTTCCTACGGTGGCTCGGCAGATTCGCTTAGGTTCAGTTTTTTGCTAGGACTGGGTTGAGTGAGCTGAACTCGGGACAAGAGTCGGTCAGCCAAGTCCTCTGAAATTCCTAACCCAGAAAAGAACTCTCTGCGGGTGTACTGGTGTCAAGTCAGAGACGTTAAGGTGTCGAATATCACAAAACATTTAATGCCACCAAGAACTCTTCTTAGTCCTTTTCCTGTTTTACTACTCTGTTTACTATTTAGTTAAACGTGCGTGCCTGTCTTACCTTCCTCTGAATGGCATTCGAAATAGATGTGTGTTTTGTTTGCCTCAAGCACAAAGCTAGGCACAGTGACGCAAATATTTGATGCATGAATCAGTGAAGACCTGTCAAAAAAGGGCACGGAGGCCGGGCGCGGTGGCTCAAGCCTGTAATCCCAGTACTTTGGGAGGCCGAGATGGGCGGATCACGAGGTCAGGAGATCGAGACCATCCTGGCTAACACGGTGAAACCCCGTCTCTACTAAAAAATACAAAAAACTAGCCGGGCGCGGTGGCGGGCGCCTGTAGTCCCAGCTACTCAGGAGGCTGAGGCAGGAGAATGGCGTGAACCCGGGAGGCGGAGCTTGCAGTGAGCTGAGATCCGGCCACTGCACTCCAGCCTGGGCGGCAGAGCGAGACTCCGTCTCAAAAAAAAAAAAAAAAAAGGGCACGGGAGGCAATCAGGGACCTAGCACAACCTTCCTGGGACCCAAGCCCTTTAGCCTCCAACTGTCAATTATCTGTGCTCCAAAGGGCATGGAGATACACAGAAAAATTTCTCCCATTGTAGTTTTCGTAGTAACCCTGCTCGTTTTTAACAAAGTACCCCGTAGGTTATGAACCCTGGTGGGAAGACCTGTCTCTCTGAACAGACTGTAAAACTTCTGGGGAGCAAGGACTGTGTTTGCTTCACTCTTGTATCTCCAGCTCCTCCCGTGACTTTGTACATAGTAGGGGCTCCATAATTATCTGTGGAATGAATAAATGAAGAGAAATGGGAAAACATTCGGGGTAAGGGTCGGTTAGATAGATCCTCTCAAATTCATAGCCCGTGAAAGAACTCCATTAAAACAGGTTTTGTGGCCTGGCGCGGTGGCTCACGCCTGTAATCCCAGCACTTTGGGAGGCCGAGGCGGGTGGATCACGAGGTCAGGAGATCGAGACCATCCTGGCTAATACGGTGAAACCCCGTCTCTACTAAAAATACAAAAAATTAGCCGGGCGCGGTGGCGGGCGCCTGTAGTCCCAGCTATTCGGGAGGCTGAGGCAGGATAATGGCGTGAACCCGGGAGGCGGAGCTTGCAGTGAGCGGAGATCGCGCCACTGTTCTCCAGCCTGGGCGACAGAGTGAAACTCTGTCTCAAAAAACAAACAAACAAACAAAAAACAGGTTTTGTAACCCCCAGAATGGCCTGATTATCCTCTTTCCAGATGTCTTGTGGGTCCTCATAAAGTAACCTAGGACCCGAACATCCATAGAATATCTCTATGCAGGCCGGGCACCGTGGCTCACGCCTGAAATTCCAGCACTTTGGGAGGCCAAGGCGGGTGGATCATCTGAGCTCAGGAGTACGAGACCAGCCTGGCCAACATGGTGAAATCCCGGCCCTACTAAAAATACAAAAAAATAAGCTGGGCGTGGTGTCAGGCGCCTGTAATCCCAGCTACTCGGGAGGCTGAGGCAGGAGAATCGCTTGAACCCAGAAGGTCGAGGTTGCAGCGAGCTGAGATCGCGCCATTGCACTCAAGCCTGGGCAAGATGAGCGAAACTCAGTCTCAAAAAAAAAAAAAAAAAAAAAAAAATGGCCGGGCGCAGTGGCTTCACACCTGTAATCCCAGCACTTTGGGAGGCGGAGGCGGGCGGATCACCTGAGGTCGGGAGTTCAACACCAGCCTGATCAACATGGAGAAACCCCGTCTCTACTAAAAATACAAAATTACCCAGGCGTGGTGGAGCTTGCCTGTAATCCCAGCTACTCGCTACCCGAGAGGCTGAGGCAGGAGAATTGCTTGAACCTGGGAGGCAGACGTTGCGGTGAGCCGAGATGGCGCCATTGCACTCCAGTTTGGGCAACAAGTGCGAAACTCCGCCTCAAAAAAAAAAAAAAAAAAAAAAAAGGATAAATCCCCATGCATTTACGGCAGCCTTCTACTCCTCCCTTACGAAGATCTAAAATAATTGTTTCCCTGCTGCCACCTGCTGGAGTATTCGTCTTCCTTTGGGCACCGGAAGTAGACAAAATCTTGTTTGTAATTCCGCAGCAGTGGAATTTTGTAGTGTTGAAGTATTTTATAATTGCCTATACCTATACCCTCCACTCAACTAAACAGGACAGGAACTGGTGAGGGGCACACTGTCTAGCACAGGATTTGGCTCATAGGTATTCAATAAATAAATATTTGTTGAATAAATTATCCTTGTTTTCCGGAAAGGCATAGGGTTGCTACCATTTCCTGAGTTACTTCAGAAATCGGCTGGTGTTGATGTAAAGCTGTTTCTGATTTTAAAATTGGAAGCAGACTAATAAATCCCAGAATGACCAATGCAGTCAAACAGAGGAATCTTCTCCCTGTGAGCTAATCTGTGAATTTTATTTTATTTTATTTTATTTATTTTTTGAGATAGAGTCTGGCTCTGTCGCCCAGGCTGGAGTGCAGTGGCGCTCGGTTACTGCAACCTCCACCTTCCGGGTTCAAACGATTCTCCTGCCTCAGCCTCCCGAGTAGCTGGGACTACAGGCACGCACCACCACGCCCAGCTAATTTTTTATATTTTTAGTTTTTATTTTCACCAACTACCACTATTTTTATTTTTAATTTCATCAACTCCCACTCAGTCCCTGGGGCGCCCTCACTCCCACTCAATCCCTGGGGTGTCCTCTGAGTCATGGAACCACTCCTCTCCAGTAACATTCCTGGCATAGTAGAACTGTGGTGACGTGACAGGGTGTGGAAACAGGGGCAGAGCAGGACATGTTGGCTTAGTGCCCCCAAGGAAACAGAAAAGGGAGTTCACCAATACATGCTTTGGGAAAGGGGGTACAATCCGATGACCTCAAAGTAGGGCCACAGGTACAGACTTCAGTACACATGAGTGCACACCCACACCTTTATTAAAGTTTCCTTCATATCTTAGAACACTTTCTTTATTTTATTTATTTATTTTTTGAGACAGAGTCTCCCTCTGTTGCCCAGGCTAGATAGAGTACAGTGGCGCGATCTTGGCTCACTGCAACCTCCACCTCCTAGGTTCAAGCAATTCTCCTGCATCAGCCTCCCAAGTAGCTGGGATTATAGGCACGTGCCACCACATCTGGCTAATTTTTTGTATTTTTAGTAGAGACGGGGTTTCGCCGTGTTAGCCAGGATGGTCTCGATCTCCTGACCTCGTGATCTGCCTGCCTCGGCCTCCCAAAGTGCTGGGATTACAGGTGTGAGATACCATGCCTGGCCAGAACAGTTTCTAAGATGAGAATGAAGGGGTGGGGACTAGCAAGAGCAAGGAAAGGATTCTACAATAAGAGGATGGCTTATTTATTCAATTAATCATTCATTAATTAATTTGCTCAATTAACATTATTTAGCCCAGGCTACGTCCCAGGCTCTATTAGAGTTCGTGGTATACATAGATGAAGATTAAGCCCATCATCAGGCAGGATGGCTCACTCCTCTAATGCCAACACTTTGGGAGCTGAGGCAGGCAGATTGCTTGAGTTCAGGAGTTCAAGACCAGCCTGGGCAACATGGCAAAACTCCCATCTCTACAAAAAGTACAAAAATTAGCTGAGCATGGTGGCACGCACCTATAGTCGCAGCTACTCACGAAACTGAGGTGGGTGGGTCACTTGATCCCGGGAGGTCTAGGCTGCAGTGAGCTAAAATTGCACCACTTCTCTCCAGCCTGGGTGACAGAGCAAAACCATGTCTCCAAAAAAATTTTTTTAATTAAAAAAAGGAAAGGATTGGCCGGGCGCGGTGGCTCAAGCCTGTAATCCCAGCACTTTGGGAGGCCGAGGCGGGCGGATCACAAGGTCAGGAGATCGAGACCACAGTGAAACCCCGTCTCTACTAAAAATACAAAAAATCAGCCGGGCGCGGTGGCGGGCGCCTGTAGTCCTAGCTACTCAGGAGGCTGAGGCAGGAGAATGGCGTGAACCCAGGAGGCAGAGCTTGCAGTGAGCCGAGATCGCGCCACTGCACTCCAGCCTGGGCAACAGCGTGAGACTCCATCTCAAAAAAAAAAAAAAAAAAAAAAAAAAGGAAAGGATTAAGCCCCTGCCCTCAAAAAGATCACAGACTAATGAAGGGAACAGACATGTGAATCACTAGAATACAATGTAATAGGTGCCATCATAAACTTTGTGTAAGTGCTATGGTTTGATAACCATATTTTCAGAATAAAAAATGGGAACAGAGTCTTTACAACAGACATTATTTGAGATTGGAACTATTCCAGAGACTACAGAAGGCATCATCTCCACAGTTATATAAATTGGGCCTGGAAAGAGAGGAATGGGTGTTCAGGAAGACTCCACTATCCCATAAAATTAGACAAGAAAGGAAAAGGATTCTAAGGAGAAAGAAAGGCATAGAGGCATGACAGAGAGTTGGCTGTTGGGGGAGTGATGCTGGAGTAGTGATGTGGCAGAAGGTGTGACTAGAAAGACAGGGAGAGGCTAAATTATGAAGGATCTGAATACTGAATGCCATGTAGTAGTTACCACATACTGAAACTTACTATGCACTTACTAAACACTGTGCTAAGCAGTTTACAATAATTATCTCTCTCTGTCTTTTTTTTTTTCTGAGACGGAATCTTGCTCTGTCGCCCAGGCTGGAGTGCAGGGGTACGATCTTGGCTCACTGCAACCTCTGTCTCCCGGGTTCAAGCGATTCTCCTGCCTCAGCCTCTCGAGTAGCTGGGACAACAGGCGCCCGCCACCACGCCCGGCTAATTTTTATATTTTCAGTAGAGACAGGGTTTCACCATATTGGCCACGCTGGTCTTGAACTACTGACCTTGTGATCCATCCCCCTGGCCTCCCAAAGTGCTCGGATTATAGGCGTGAGCCACAGCACCTGGCCAAGAATTATATCTCTTAATCTTCTACAACCTTAAAAAATAGGTATTGTTATCAGTCCCACTTTGCAGATGAGAAAACTGAGATTCAGAGAAGTAAAGCAACTGGTCCAAAGTAATACAGCTAAAAGACCTTAAAGCTCACACTCAAATTCAGGTCTGGCTGACTCTAAAGCTGTGTTCTCTTTTTGTTGTTGTTTTATTTTATTTTAATTTTTAATTGACACATAATTGTACATATTTATGGGGTACATAGTGATGTTTCAATACATAAAATATATAGTGATCAGATCAGGATAATTAGCATATCTGTCATCTAAAAAATGTATCATTTATTTATTTATTTATTTATTTATTTATTTATTTATTTTGAGATGGTGTCTCGCTTTGTCGTCCAAGCTGGAGTGCAGTGGCACAATGTCAGCACACTACAACCTCCACCTCCTGGTTTCAAGCGATTCTTATGCCTCAGCCTCCGAAGTAGCTGGGACTACAGGCACCTGCCACCACTCCTGGCCAGTTTTTGTACTTTTTAGTAGAGACAAGGTTTCACCATGTCAGTCACGCTTGTCTTGAACTACCCACCTGGAATAATTTGCCCACCTTAGCCTCCCAAAGTGCTGAGATTACAGGCGTGAGCCCTAGTGCCTGGCCTCACAAATGTATCATTTATTTGTTTCCAACACAAACATTTAATATCCTTCTTCTAGCTGTTTGACACTATATATTATTGTTAATTATAGTCATCCCCCAGTGGTATGGAACACTAGAATTTTTTTTTTTTTTTTTTTTTTTTGAGATGGAGTCTCACTCTTGTTGCCCAGGCTGGAGTGCAATGGCGCGATCTTGGCTCACTGCAACCTCTGCCTCTGGGGTTCAAGTGATTCTCCTGCCTTTGCCTCCTGAGTAGATGGGCTTACAGGCACCCACCAACACGCCTGGCTAAGTTTTGTATTTTTAGTAGAGATGGGGTTTTGCCATGTTGGCCAGGCTAGTCTCAAACTCCTAATCTCAGGTGATCTGCCCACTTCAGCCTCCCAAAGTGTTGGGATTACAGGCATGAGCCACCGCACCCGGCCAAGAACACTAGAAATTATTCCTCCTGTCTAAATGTAATTTGGAGCTAAGCGAGGTGGCTCAGGCCTGTAATTCCAGCACATTGACAGGCTGAGGAGTGGGGATCACTTGAGTCCAGGTGACCACTGTGGGCAACATAAAGAAATCTCATCTTCACAAAAAGTACAAAAAATTAGCCGGGTGTGGTGATGTGAGCCTGTAGTTCCAGTTACCTGGGAGGCTGAGGTGGGATGATCGCTTGAACCCAGGAGGTAGAGACCACAGTGAGCAGTGATTGCATCACTGCACTCCAGACTGGGCGACAGAGTGAGATCCTATCTCAAACAAACAAATGAACAAATGAACAAACAAATGTAATTTGGGGCCGGTGTGGTGGCTCACGGCTTTAATCAGCTCACTTTGTAAACCTCTCACTTTGGGAGGCCAAGGTGGGAGGACAGCTTGAGCCCAGGAGGTCAAGGAGCCAGCGAGCCATGATCCTGCTGCTACACTCCAGCCTGGGCAACAGAGACCCCGTCTCAAAAAAAAATGGTAATTTTGTGTCTTTTTTTTTTTTTTCTTTTCAGATGGCGTCTTGCTCTGTTGCCAGGCTGGGGCATAGTGGCACGATCTCAGCTCACTGCAACCTCTGCCTCCCGGGTTCAAGCGATTCTCCTGCCTCAGCTTCCCGAGTAGCTGGGACTGCAGGTGTGTGCCACCACACCCAGTTAATTTTTGTATTTGTAGTAGAGACGGGGTTTCACCATGTTGGCCAGGATGGTCATAATCTCTTGACCCCGTGATCTGCCTGCCTCAGCCTCCCGAAGTGCTGGAATTACTAGGCGTGAGCCACTGTGCCCGGCCCAATTTTGTCTTTTTTTTTTTTTTTTGAGACGGAGTCTCCCTCTGTTTCCCAGGCTGGAGTGCAAATGGCGTGCGATCTTGGCTCACTGCAACCTCCGACTCCCGAGATCAAGCAATTCTCTGCCTCAGCCTCCCGAGTAGCTGGGATTACAGGTGCCCACCACTATGACCAGCTAATTTTTGTATTTTTAGTGGAGATGGGGTTTCACCATCTTGGCCAGGCTGGTCGTGAACTCCTGACCTCATGATCCACACCCTCGGCTTCCCAAAGTGCTGGGATTACAGGTGTGAGCCACAATTTTGTGTCTTTTAACAAATCTGGCCGGGCGCGGTGGCTCAAGCCTGTAATCCCAGCACTTTGGGAGGCCGAGAGGGGCGGATCACGAGGTCAGAAGATCGAGACCATCCTGGCTAACACGGTGAAACCCGTCTCTACTAAAAAATACAAAAAACTAGCGGGGCGAGGTGGCGGGCGCCTGTAGTCCCAGCTACTCGGGAGGCTGAGGCAGGAGAACGGCGTAAACCTAGGCGGCGGAGCTTGCAGTGAGCTGAGATCCGGCCATTGCACTCCAGCCTGGGCGACAGAGCGAGACTCCGTCTCAAAACAACAACAACAACAACAAAAAAACCAAATCTTTCCCTGTCCCTTCCTTCCCCCTGCACTTCCCAGCCCCCAGTATCATCTGTTCTATTTTTTATTTCTATGAAATCAATTTTTTTAAAGCGTCCACATATGAGTGAGAACACGCAGTGTTTAAATTTCTGTTCGTGGCTTAAGTCAGTTAACGTGTCCTCCAATTCCGTCCATGTTGCTGCAAATGACAGGATTTTGTTCCTTTTAATGGCTAAATAGTATTCATTTGTGTATATACACCTCATTTCCTTTATTCATCTGTTGTTGGACACCTAGATTGATTTCCTATTTTGGTTACTATAAGCAGTGCTGCATTAAATATGGGGGTGCATAAATATGGAGTGCGGACGTCTCTTGGAAATACTGATTTCCTTTTTTTTTTTTTTTTTTTTCCTAAATCAGCTTCCTTATGTTGAATTATGTCCTTTCCTTCGGATAAATGTCTATGGCTGTGTTTTTAACCACAATATTATGCTTTCTTTCTCAAGGATTTTGGACTTTATCTTGTAGATGATGTGGAGCCATTAAAAAATGTTGAGGAGAGGACTGGCAAAATCTGGGTTTTTAGAAAATTTGAAAGTTTCCTACTGGCAGCAGTGTGGAAAACGGACTGGACCGGGGAGAATGACCTCTTCTAAAAGAAAATGTGAGCCTGGCGCGGTGGCTCACGCCTGTAATCCCAGCACTTTGGGAGGCCGAAGCGCGCGGATCACCTGAGGTTAGGAGTTTGAGACCAGCCTGGCCAACATGGTGAAAGCCGTTTCTACTAAAAATACAAAAATTAGCTGGGCATGGTGGCGGGCGCCTGTAATCCCAGCTACTCGGGGAGAATTGCTTCAGCCCGGGAGAGGGAGGTTGCAGTGAGCCGAGATCGTGCCACTGCACTCCAGTCTGGCGACAGAGCGACCCTACGAAAAAAATACATATATGTGTGTGTGTGTGTATATATATATATTAAAAACAAAAATAAATAAAAGAAAATGTGTTGACTTAGGTTTATGCGGGTCGTCGTGCCACCAAGTGGACTCATTGAGCACTAGGGCAAGCGGCCTAGAGGTTCCGCGCAGGAGTAGGAGAGGCTGAAGAGTAAAGAGGGTTTAGAAGGTGGGACTAGGAGTCTCTCGACACTCTGTTACTTCTGCCTGTAAACGCCCGACTTCCGCCGCTGGTGTCCACCCGCAGGTAGCGGTGTCGAGCGTCGAGCTCCCAGAAGCGAGCTGGTGAGGGGCTGCAGGTGGCGGAGCAGTCTCCTTAGGCGGTATGAGTTTGGCTGGGGGCCGGGCACCCCGGAAGACCGCTGGGAACCGGCTTTCCGGGCTTCTGGAGGCAGAGGAGGAAGATGAGTTCTACCAGACGACTTATGGAGGTTTCACAGAGGCAAGATCCGAGCCTGGGAAAAGGGAGGGGAGGAAGCGAAGAGGAGCCCTGGAGGGAGGATCTCCGGACAAAGAAGAAGAAGGCGGGGAATAGAGCGGAGCTCTGGGAGCTGATACCCTAGATGGGTGCGGTGAATCGGAGCCGGGGGGCGGGGCGGGGCGGGGGGACGGATAGTGTGGAGTCCTACAAGGGAGACCTCTGGATGGGGTCAAAGGGGCATGAGACGGAGAAGCTTTGCGGAGGCACTCCAGAGAACGGCAGAAACCTACCGCATACTTGCGTAGTTCCATCTCTCACTGTACTTCTGACCTCCAGCATACGTCAGGCACACAGATAGTAGTAGTCAGTCGCTGGATGTATACTTGTTGGCCCACTGCCGGATTATTCACCTGAGACATGGAAAGGAACTGCTCCAAAGGTAGAGATTAGCCCACTCCTTTTTCAGCTTTCAAGTCTCAATGTATATGTTTTCTCAGGAAGATAATCCTTCCTTGACTATCCTAACAAGTGTCCCCATTTATTTCTCCCACAGAACATATTTCAGTTTGTAATTAGATTCGGTTTGCTTACTTGCTTATGTTTTCCTATTGCATTGTAAACTGTATAAAGTTAGGGATGGTCTGTTTTGTTCAACATTATGTGTGAGGTGTCCGGACTGGGCTGCCACTTGCTAAATTTTTTTTAGTTGAATCTACCCGTTTCTTAAATGTGTTGAATACCCAGTGCATGCCATCGGTGATAGGTTGTATTGGGCTCTAGGGAAACCGAGAATATTAAAAACAGTGCTCTGTCCTTACATACTCCATGCCCCAGTGGGGTAACTGGTTGGGTTAACAGTTAAAATACTGTGTGATAGGAAGGGCACAGTGGCTCACGCATGTAATCCCAGCACTTTGGAAGGCCAAGGCAGGTAGATCACAAGGTCAGGAGATCAAGACCATCCTGGCCAACATGGTAAAACCCCAGTCTCTACTAAAAATACAAAAATTAGCCAGGCGTGGTGGCGTGCGCCTATAGTCCCAGCTACTCAGGAGGCTGAGGCAGAGAATCGCTTGAACCTGGGAGGAGGAGGTTGCAGTGAGCTGAAATCATACCACTGCACTCCAGCCTGGGCGACAGAGCAGGACTCTGTCTCAAAAACAAACAAAATGTGTGATAAGGACTAAAACAAGGTGTAAGATATAAGATAGAGTGTTAAGGTAATACATCTGAACCAAAGCTGTTGATCAGGATAGGCATCCCTGGAGGGATGATGTTTAAGCTGAGGACAGTTTGAAAAGTAGACCTTAGCTTGATGAAAAGTGGGAGAAGGAGAAAGGTAGTCCACAGAGCAGATCGGGGAGAGTATGTAAAGACGTTGAGATCCTGGTCTAGGACCTGCAAGTCTACTTTCATTCTCCAGAGCATGAAGGAGACTAAAGATTGATAAGCCTGGAGGGAGTAGGCATGGGCCAGATCATTTAGGGCCTTGTGAGCCATGTTAAGGAGTTTTGCTGTTCATCCAGAGGACTGAGAAGAGTCATCCGAGTTCCACGATAAAATTTGTACTTTAGAAAGATTACTTACTCTGTAATGAGAATGGCTTGAAGGCGGCATGGCAGTAGAGAAACAGAAAGATTCAAGAGAAATTAAGGAATAGAACCCACAGGATTTAGGGGCTGAGTGTGGTGGCTCACGCCTGTAATCCCAGCACTTTGGGAGGCTGAGGCGGGTGGATCACAAGGTCAGGAGTTCGAGACCAGCCTGACCAACATGGTGCAACCCTGTCCCTACTAAACATACAAAAAATTAGCTGGGCGTGGTGGCACGCGCCTGTAATCCCAGCTACTAGCTTGAACCTGGGAGGCGGAGGTTTCAGTGGATCACTCCACTGCACTCCAGCCTGGGCGACAGTGAGACTCCGTTTAAAAACAAAAACAAAAACAAAAAACCCCACATCACTGAGTCATTACTGACACAGCCCTGACCAACTAGTTTAAAATAGAACTTTCTCATCCCTCCTCTAAGGCCATTTTCCTATTTCTGTCATTTTACGACTCGTTATTTAATATGTACCCTTCATGCTTCCAACAAGGATTTAAGGAGGCTTACAATATAAACAAAAAGTAGAAACGGTAAAAATAGAGACAGATCAGAAGTAATTGTACCAGGAACCTCTGCTAAAATGGTAATAGCAATTGATATTAAATTTAGCTGTGAGCTTCCTGGTAGCCAAACCTTGTATTTCTTTTTTTAGTAAGAAAGAAGCATACAAGTTGTTCAAGAGAGACAAACTTATTCAGTCTTAAATCCTAGGGAGCATTTATCATTATATCCTTATATTATAAAAAGTAACGGTTTTCGTAGATGATATACAAACATTCTCTTATCTAGTGATGTGTATTAATGACTCAATAAAAGGCAAAGGAATGGTAGTAATTTAGTGCAAGTATTTTGATTGGGCACTAAGCTAATGTGTGGTTGATCTACTACCCTCCGGTGATATGGCTTAATACCAGATAAAGGCTGAGGGGATTAATGTGTTCCCAGGCTGTCTTTTACAGGCATCAATTGGGAGGAAATGATGGTCATCAGTGCAAAATTGAACTCTGGCTGGTTTGGAGGGTCAACCATCTGTGTTATTTGCTTGCTTTGGCATCATGTGTACCAAGATTAGCCCTTTAGTCTGCATCACTGATTGAAGAGAGAGCCACATGTGTGAGGTGTCACCCAGCCCAGTTGACTCCCTCTCCCTCAACTGACTTTTTTCCCTTTTCTTTCTAATATGGCTGCCATTCTAGCCCTAAACAGTATCACCTCAGGTCTAGGCTGTACTTCACATTCTCTACTCAGGCCATCTAACTGCCTCCAGAGCTCTCTGAAATACCCCTTGTACATACTGTTACCCCTCCCCTATATCTTCGGTGGCTCTCCGTTATCCATAGTAGCAGTACTCAGCTGTTTTTCTGTCCCAACACATCTGAGGAATGACACATATTTCTCTCAGTAACTTTAGTTTACATAAACAATGATTATCAATGGTCGGACAAATAAGGAGATGGAGGGGATTGAGAACTATTGGCCTGCAGGTTAAAATTGTGTTTATTAGTGTGACATTTAAGTTTCTCCATAAATGGAATGCAGGAATGCAAACTTCTTTTCTTTTTTTTTTTTTTGAGACGGAGTCTCGCTCTGCCGCCCAGGCTGGAGTGCAGTGGCGCGATATCAGCTCACTGCAAGCTCCACCTCCCGGGTTCACGCCATTCTCCTGCCTCAGCCTCCTGAGTAGCTGGGACTACAGGCATCTGCCACCACGCTTGGCTATTTTTTTCTATTTTTAGTAGAGATGGGGTTTCACCGTGTTAGCCAGGATGGTCTCGATCTCCTGACCTCATGATCCACCCGCCTCGGCCTCCCAAAGTGCAGGGATTACAGGCATGAGCCACTGCGCCCGGCCGCAACCTTCTTTTCAAATCATATAGTCCTACAGTGCAATCAGTGTTGGAAGGAGGCAGTGCTGGAGCGAAACACAGTTGGCTAACAAGGTTTCTTGATAGAGAAAAGTTTTACTTAGATCTAAATCTTTATTCCATAAACATGCTGTACACATTACCATTTCTGCGCCTTTGTTTCTGCTATTTCATCGCCCATGATTCCTTCTTCCCTCTTGACTGTCTAAATACTAACAGTGTTTTCAACCATAGTTTAACTCCTCTTCATGCCTTTTTTTTTTTTTTGAGATAGTGTCTCGCCCTGTCGCCCAGGCTGGAGTGCAGTGGCACTATCTCAGCTCACTGCAACCTATGCCTCCTGGGTTCAGGTGATTCTCCTGCCTCAGCCTCCCAAGTAGCTGGGACTACAGGTGTGCATCACCATGCCCAGCTAATTTTTGTATTTTTAATAGAGCCAGGGTTTCACCATGTTGGCCAGGCTGATCTCGAACTCTTGGCCTCAAGTGATCTGCCCACCTCAGCCACCCAAAATGCTGGGATTACAGGCATGAGCCACCGTGCCTGGCCAAGACCCACATCTCAAAAAAAAAAAAAAAAGTAAGATTATGTTATCCCCTTTACTGTAAGCCCCTGAAAGTAGAGACCAAACCATATCCTTTTGTTTCCCAGTACTTAACACAGTGTGTTGCAGGTAAAGCGCTGTCAATTAATGTTGGAAGGAGGTGGTACTGGAGCCAAAGGCCATTAGCTAGAAAGTTTTCTTGCTTGAAGAAAATGAAGGACTGGATTAGGAAGGAGAGTAGGGCAACCCTTATCAAGAAAGTTGAGAGATTCTGTTCTTCCTGAAGGGTCATTAAGGCTTCCATTGCCAGCCAACCCTCATCTCCCTGTGTCCTTAGGAATCCGGAGATGATGAGTATCAAGGGGACCAGTCAGATACAGAGGACGAAGTGGACTCTGACTTTGATATTGATGAAGGGGATGAACCATCCAGCGATGGAGAAGCAGAAGAGCCAAGAAGGAAGCGCCGAGTAGTCACCAAGGCCTATAAGGTACAGGAGGAGTCCTAGTTTTCTTGGATTTCCTCAATTCCTATTCCCTCTTTCATCAGGTCCCAGTACTCCCTTTGCCACTTCCATTTCTGGCAATGCTAGTTTTCTCTCATTGAGATCCTCATATTTCTCCTTACTTCTTCTGTTCCCTGGTATCTGATTCCAATCTGTCCTCAGGAGCCTCTCAAGAGCTTAAGGCCTCGAAAGGTCAACACCCCGGCTGGTAGCTCTCAAAAGGCCCGAGAAGAGAAGGCACTACTGCCACTAGAACTACAAGATGACGGCTCTGACAGTGAGTAGGGATGTTTGGGTCAATTGGGAAAATTGGAATATGATGATACAATATCATATCAGTGTTAAATTTACTGATGTTGCTGGGTGCAGTGGCTCACGCCTATAATCCCATCACTTTGGGAGGCCAAGGCGGGCGGATCACCTGAGGTCAGGAGTTCGAGACCAGCCTGGCCAAGATGGTGAAATTCCATCTCTACTAAAAATACAAAAATTAGGCAGGTGTGGTGGTGGGCCCCTGTAATCCCAGCTACTTGGGAGGCTTAGGCAGGAGAATTGCTTGAACCTGGGAGGCAGGGGTTACAGTGAGCCAAGACCACACCATTGCACTGCAGCCTGGGCAACAAGAGCAAAACTCCGTCTCAAAAAAAGAAAAAGAAAAAGAAAAAAATTTACTGATGTTGATAACTTACTATGGATAGGAAAATCCTCATTCTTAGGAAATACACACTGAAATATTTAGGGATAAAGGCCATGATGTTTACAACTTTAGTTATCTAATTTAGATCATTCAGAAAAAAACCACACATACAAAATGCAAAAGGGCCAAAATATTACCAATAGGTGATGGGGTAAAAGATACATGAGTATTCCTTGTACTATTCTTGCAACTTTGTAGGTTTGAAATTATTTTGAGGCCAGGCATGGTGGCTCACGCCTGTAATCCCAGCATTTTGGGAGGCCGAGGCAGGTGGATCTTGAGGTCAGGAGTTTGAGACCATCCTGGCTAACATGGTGAAACCCCATCTCTACTACAAATACAAAAAATTAGCTGGACATGGTGGCATGTGCCTGTAGTCCCAGCTGCTCGGGAATCTGAGGCAGGAGAATCGTTTGAACCCGGGAGGCAGAGGTTGGAGTGAGCCGAGATTGTGCCACTGCACTCCAACCTGGGCGACAGAGCGAGATTCTATCTCAAAAAAAAAAAAAAAAAAAAAAAAAAGAAAGGATTTCTGGCCGGGCGCAGTGGCTCACGCCCATAATGCCAGCACTTTCGGAGGCCAAGGCGGGCAGATCACGAGGTCAGGAGATCGAGACCATCCTGGCTAACACAGTGAAACCCCGTCTCTACTAAAAACACGAAAAAATTAGCCGGGCATGGTGGCGGATGCCTGTAATCCCAGCTACTCGGGAGGCTGAGGCAGGAGAATGGCGTGAACGTGGGAGGCGGAGCTTGCAGTGAGCTGAGATTGTGCCACTGCACTCCAGCCTGGGTGACAGAGCGAGACTCTGTCTCAAAAAAAAAAAGGAAATTATTTCCAAACACAAAATTTTAAAATAAATAAATAAAATAGGTGGACATGGGGGCTGGGCGTGGTGGCTCACGCCTGTAATCCCAGCACTTTGGGAGGCCAAGGCGGGCAGATCACGAGGTCAGGAGATCGAGACCATCCTGGCTAACACGGTGAAACCCCGTCTCTACTAAAAATACAAAAAATTAGCCGGGCGTGGTGGCGGGTGCCTATAGTCCCAGCTACTCAGGAGGCTGAGGCAGGAGAATGGCGTGAACCCGGGAGGCGGAGCTTGCAGTGAGCCGAGATTGTGCCACTGCACTGCAGCCTGGGCGACAGAGCGAGACTCCATCTCAAAAAATAATAATAAAAATAAATAAATAAATAAAATAGGTGGACGTAAATTCAAAGATTTCTTCTTATCTCACTCTCTTCCAGGTAGGAAGTCCATGCGTCAGTCTACAGCTGAGCATACACGACAAACGTTCCTTCGGGTACAGGAGAGGCAGGGCCAGTCAAGACGGCGAAAGGGGCCCCACTGTGAGCGGCCACTAACCCAGGAGGAGCTGCTCCGGGAGGCCAAGATCACAGAAGAGCTTAATTTACGTTCACTGGGTCAGTCTGTGGTTTCAGAAAAAGTGGGTAGAGGGGCTGAGGGGCATGAGAAAAACCTTGAGACCTGAAGAACCAAAGAATTGGAGAGATGGAAATTTGGGATGAGAGAATCAGAAGGAAGAAATGGCAGAGAATAGATGATTAGGTGCAAAGGTCTAGGCAGTTATGAGCACTCTGAAGAACAAGCTAAGGTACTTTGGTGTAAAATAAGAGTTGTATAGAACTGAGGTCAAATCCTGGTTCTGCTATTCACTTGCTTTCAGACTGTAGGTAAATTACTTTACTTATTCACATTTTGCTTTTCTTGTTTATAAAATAGGGTGTACACCTAATGACTCAGGGAATTTAGGCAGGAGTATTGCTTAAGGTCAGGAGTTCACAACCAGCCTGGACAACATAGTGAGACCCCATCTCTTTAAAAAAAAAAAAAAAGCAGGGGGTGATAATGTTGACTTTAATGATAATCATGAGAATGTAAAGTCAGCAGATTAGTCCTTCATGAGATAAATTGCTTTAAAAATCTCTTCATTTTATGGTATTGCTTTAAAAATCTCTCCAGTTTGGGCCAAGCGTGGTGGCTTATACCTGTAATCCCAGCACTTTGGGAGGCCAAGATGGGTGGATCACCTGCAGTTGGGAGTTCCAGACCAGCCTGGCCAACATGATGAAACCCTGTCTCTACTAAAAATACAAAAATTAGCTGGGCGTGGTGGCACATGTCTGTAATCCCAGGTACTTGGGAGGCTGAGGCAAGAGAATCATTTGAACCTGGGAGGTGGATGGAAATTGCAGTGAGCCGAGATCATACCCCTGCACTCCAGCTAGGGCTACAGAGCGATACTCCATCTCAAAAAAAACAAAACAAAACAAAAAAAACCCTCGGCCGGGTGCAGTGGCTCACGCCTGTAATCCCAGCACTTTGGGAGGCCAAGGCAGGCGAATCACAAGGTCAGAAGATCGAGGCCATCCTGGCTAACATAGTGAAACCCCGTCTCTACTAAAAATACAAAAAAATTAGCCGGGTGTGGTGGTGGGCACCTGTAGTCCCAGCTACTCGGGAGGCTGAGGCAGGAGAATGGTGTGAACCCGGGAGGTGGAGCTTGCAGTGAGCCGAGATCGCGCCACTGCACTCCAGCCTGGGCAACAGAGCGAGACTCCATCTCAAAAAAAAACAAAAACCTCTCCAGTTTATAGGCATAGAACCATGTACGGTATTATATTATACAAAAATATATACTTCTTTATAGAGTAGTAAGAGTCTCATATCATGAAAGGTACATGAGAAATTGAGGGACCAGCAGATTCATACCTCCTGGTACATACTTTCTGGGTGAAATAGCATGTGGAATCACCTACAGTATTTAATATGTTTTCTTTCTCTTTTTTTGTTTTTGACACGGAGTCTCTCTCTGTCGCCCAGGCTGGAGTGCAGTGGCGCGATCTTGGCTCACTGCAACCTCCGCCTCCCGGCTTCAAGCGATTCTCCTGCCTCAGCCCCCCGAGTAGCTGGGACTACAGGTGCATGCCCCTACGTCCGGCTAATTTTTTGTATTTTTAGTAGAGACGGGGTTTCATCGTGTTAGCCCGGATGGTCTCTATCTCCCGATCTCATGATCTGCCTGCCTCAGCCTCCCAAAGTGCTAGAATTACAGGCGTGAGCCATCGTGCCTGGCTATTTTTCTCTTTCTGAATCTCCTTTTTATTGTTGTTCTCTCTCTCCTTTTTTTTTTCTTTTTGGCCAACCATACATAATTGAATATGCATAAGCCAGATGTAATTTCCCAGAAGTGGGAGATTATTTACCTGGAATATCTGGGACCCATCCATACCAGATTAATAATAGTTTTTTTTTTTTTTTTTTAGGCAGAGTCTCGCTCTGTCGCCCAGGCTGGAGTGCAGTGGCGCGATCTCGGCTCACTGCAAGCTCCACCTCCCGGGTTCACACCATTCTCCTGCCTCAGCCTCCCGAGTAGCTGGGACTACAGGTGCCCGCCACCGCGCCCGGTTAATTTTTTGTATTTTTAGTAGAGACAGGGTTTCACCGTGTTGGCCAGGATGGTCTCGATCTCCTGACCTCGTGATCCGCCCGCCTCAGCCTCCCAAAGTGCGGGGATTACAGGCGTGAGCCACCACGCCTGGCCTAATAATAGTTTTGCAATTTAGATAACTTCGCTGGGCATGGGTGTGGTGGCTCACAAGCAACAAGGTCACCTTGATGTTACTGTAGTTACAGTCTGCATCCTTTGTCCACATTGATTGGTTTGGACTACCGTAAGGAGAGTGACTCCTAGGTTTTCCGTGTCAGTAACTGGCTTAGGAGACCCTTAAGGAGGAGCAAGTTCAGTGGGGAAAAAATAAATTTATTTTTGAACATGTTGAATTTAAGGAGTTTGTGAGCAATTCATGCAGTGATGAGAGGTCAGTTAAATATGCAAATCTGGTGTTCCAATAAGAGATCTGGGCTGAAAATATAAATTCGGAAGTCTTTAGAATATGGATGGTAATTAACAATATTGGAGTGCATCTGAGCATGCAGGGAGAAAGCACAGAGTGAGAAAACAGAGGCCTGATAGAGTCCTGCAGACACTAAAGCGTGATAGTTTCATACAAGAGGAGGAGCTTTGAAAAGAGCCTGGAAGTGACCAACGAGTTGGAGAAACCCAGGAGAGTTTGTGTTAAAAATGCCAGGAAAGAGAATGCCTCGAGAGAGTGACTACTGATTGCTGCTGAGATGATGATTAATAGAACTGAGAAGTGCCCATTGGTTTCAGTGAGATAGAGGTCAGACATGACCTTAGCACTTATTGGCGACCAAGCCATATCGAAGTATATTGGGGAGCAAAACTTTGCAAGCTTGGCTATGAAGGGTAGAAGAGGGAATAGAAGCTACAGAGGGGTCTGAGATTAAGGTAAAGTTGTTTTTATTTTATTTGAAGATAATTAGAAACTATATCTTTCATGAGAAACAACTGAGTTTAAAGAAAGAGAAGAAAGAAAGGTTATTAATAGTGTAGGTTTTTGGAGATGGGAGGCAAGGCTGGGAGATAGAGCAGCATGGTGGAGGAATTGGCCTCAGATGGGGGAGGTGAGAAAGAAAGTGTGGTGGCCGGGTACAGTGGCTCACACCTGTAATCCCAGCACTTTGGGAGGCCATGGCAGGCAGATCATCTGAGGTCAGGAGTTCGAGACCAGCCTGACCAACATGGAGAAACCCCATCTCCACTAAAAATACAAAATATTAGCTGAGTGTGGTGGTACATGCCTGTAATCCCAGCTACTTGGGAGGTTAAGGCAGGAGAATCACTTGAACCCGGGAGGCAGAGGTTGCGGTGAGCCGAGATCGTGCCATTGCATTCTAGCCTGGGTAACAAGAGCAAAACTCTGTCTCAAAAAAAAAAAAAAAAAAGAAAGTGTGGCTTAGCCGAGTGCAGTGGCTCATGCCTGTAATCCCAGCAATTTGGGAGGCCAAGGAAGGAGGATTGCTTGAGCCCAGGAGTTCAAGACCAGCCTGGGCAACATAGTGAGACCCTGTCTCTATTTTAAAATGTGGCTTACAGTTGTAGGTTTGTAATCCAAAGGGAGGGCATTGCAGTGGTTCTCACCTGATGTCTTTTTCATTATGCGGCGCCATCTGTCAAACATTAGGGATACAGCTGGAAGCTTGATGAGACTGAGGAGCATTTAAAATAGTTACTGATGTGGGATATCGAGCAGTATTGAGGGACCTGCTGAAGACTAGGACCATGAATGAATTTATGGTGGTTGCAGTCTGTGCTGTTATTTTTCTCCAGTAGCACTCAGCAGTCCAGATCAGGGCAAGGGAATTATTGACAGGAGAGTGACTGAAGTGATTGAAATAATACAGTGAGCAACCTAAGCATGCTTTAAAAAGGAAAATGTGGCCCGGCGCAATGGCTCACACCTGTAATCCCAGCACTTTGGGAGGCCGAGGCGGACGGATCATGGGGTAAGGAGTTCGAGACCAGCCTGGCCAACATGGAGAAACCCCATCTCTACTAAACATACAAAAAATTAGCCAGGCGTGGTGGTGTGCACCTGTTGTCCTGGCTACTTGGGGGGCTGAGAATCACTGAGGAGAACCACTTAAACCCGGGAGGCGGAGGTTGCAGTGAGTGGAGATTGCGTCACTGCACTCCAGCCTGGGCAAGAGAGTGAGACTCAAAAAAAAATAAAAGTAAAGTGACAAGGAAAAGAAGGTTGTTAGAGATGAGGTGATAAATTGTGGCCATGCAGTGTTGAAGGGGCTACCCATGAGCACTTCAAAGTCACCAGGGTGACCCTAAGATGATAGGAATTAGGGTAGAGACGAAGAGTAGAAACCACTGCCAAAGTCTTCATTGAGGGAGGGAGTGACCATGATTAGGAAGGACAGAAGTTAATCTAGACTCTTGGCACAGGTCTCAAAAGAGAAAGGAGTTTTGCTTGTAGGCAGAAAAGTAGTGATCTGAAAGCTACAGGGTGGGACCCAGTAGGACATAGGTATATCCTGTAGGGATGAAGAGAATGAGCAACCTCCACCAGAGGGCTGCAGAGAGGAGTGGTGGCCTCAGTGAATGACCAGGTTTCTGGTAAGGCAAATCATGGAAGGAATGCTGAGTGAGGAGCTCGAGGATATAGATGAGTTGGCAGATTACAGAGCATGAATTCCAGAGGGTGTAGGCAAGTGTTTGAAAGTAGAGGGGTTGGGCCAGGTGTGGTAGCTCAGGCCTGATATCCCAGCACTTTGGGAGGCTGAGGCAGGCGGATCACGAGGTCAAGAGATCGAGACCATCCTGGCCAACATGGTGAAACCCCGTCTCTACTAAAAATACAAAAATTAGCTGGGCGTGGTGGCGCGCGCCTGTAGTCCCTGCTACTCAGGAGGCTACTCAGGAAGAATTGCTTGAACCTGGGAGGGGGAGGTTGCAGGGAGCTGTGATCACGCCACTGCACTCCAGGCTGGTGACAGAGTGAGACTCTGTCTCAAAAAAAAAAAAAAAGAAGAAGAAAGTAGAGGGGTTGGAAGATTGGCTCAAGGGAAAGAAAGCAGTATTATCAAACAGTTCAAGTGCAAGAGAGGTTCAGTCATTGGAAGGGTTTCCAGAGTACTCTTCTTTTTTTGTTTTTTTGTTTTTTGTTTTGTTTTGTTTTGTTTTGTTTTTGAGACGGAGTCTCGCTCTGTCGCCCAAGCTGGAGTGCAGTGGCCGGATCTCAGCTCACTGCAAGCTCCGCCGCCCGAGTTTACACCATTCTCCTGCCTCAGCCTCCCGAGTAGCTGGGACTATAGGCGCCTGCCACCTCGCCCGGCTAGTTTTTTGTATTTTTTAGTAGAGACGGGGTTTCACCGTGTTAGCCAGGATGGTCTTGATCTCCTGACCTCGTGATCCGCCCATCTCGACCTCCCAAAGTGCTGGGATTACAGGCTTGAGCCACCGCGCCCGGCCATACTCTTCTTTTTTTGAGATGGAGTCTCACTCTTTCGCCCAGGCTGGAGTGCAGTGGCACAATTTCGGCTCACTGTAACCTCCGCCTCCCAGGTTCAAGTGATTCTCCTGCCTCAGCCTCCCAAGTAGCTGGGATTACAGGCGCCTGTCACCACACCCGGCTAATTTTTTGTATTTTTAGTAGAGACGGAGTTTCAGCACGTTAGCCTGGATGGTCTCAATCTCCTGACCTCGTGATCATCTGCCTTGGCCTCCCAAATTGCTGGGATTACAGGCGTGAGCCACTGTGCCTAGCCTCTTTTTTTAATTTAATTTTATTTTTTTAATTTTTTTTGAGACAGAGTCTCACTCTGTCGCCTGTGCTGGAGTGCAGTGGCACAATCTCAGCTCACTGCAACCTCCGCCTCCTGGGTTCAAGCGATTCTCCTGCTTAAGCCTCCAGAGTACCTGGGACTACAGGTGCGCGCCACCACGCCCAGCTAATTTTTTGTATTTTTAGTAGAGATGAGGTTTCACTATGTTGGCCAGAATGGTCTTGATCTCCTGACCTCATAATCTACGCACCTTGGCCTCCCAAAGTGCTGGGATTACAGGTGTGAGCCACCATGTCCAGCCCGTTTTTTTTTAATTTTTACAATTTTTTTTATTTTTTTGAGACAGAGTTTTGCACTTGTTGCCCACGTTGGAGTGCAATAGTGCAATCTCACTTCAACCTCTGCCTCCCAGGTTCAAGCAATTCTTCTGTCTTAGCCTCCCAAGTAGCTGGGATTGCAGTCATGTGCCACCACACCCGGATAGTTTTTGTATTCTTAGTAGAGACGGGGTTTCACCATGTTGGTCAGGCTGGTCTCCAACTCCTGACCTTCAGCTGATCCACCCACCTTGGACTCCCAAAGTGCTGGGATTACAGGCGTGAGCCACTGTGCCCAGCCTTGATTCATTTATTCATTAACAAATATTTAATGAGTTCCTGTAATATGCAGAATGCTGTATCACCCTGATAATATTTGGGCAATATGAGTTATAGTCACTGCCCTTAAGGAGGAGACATATACACCAATAGTGCATTGCCACAGAGCAGTGTCACGGAGACCAGGCAGGTAACATGAAGTGTGCAGCCAGCCAGAGGGATGGTGGTGAACTGGAGAGGAGTGCCTGAAAGGAGGAACAGTTACTCAGCTCAGCTAATTGCTCCCCTGTAAGAATACAGACCCAGGGTGGCCAGATTTTCTTGTTGTTTAAGAGCGACCAGAAATCTCTATAGTTAAATATAATTTCCTACTTTATTAATTTTTGTTTTTGGAGATAGGATCTCACTCTGTTGCCTAGGCTGGAGTGCCGTGGTGCCATCTCAGCTCACTGCAGCCCCCGCCTCCCGGGCTCAAGCAATCTTTCCACCTCAGCCTCCCAAGTAGCTGGGATTGCAGGCATGTGCCAGCACACCCAGCTATGGGAGTGAATTGACAGGGCATTTGTAGAGGAGATTTTGGTATCTGGGAAAGCAAATAAGCTCTTCATCAAAGCGTACCTTCCAACTCTGAGGTAGTATAGAGGGACCAGGTATACTTGAGAAATGAGCAGAGAGGATGTCAAGAAAAAACTTATAAGCAGAAAACTTACAAAATGGGAGGTGCCAGAGGGCCTTAGGGGATTTCCATAGTTCTCTCTGGTAGTTGGCAGTGACTAGATAGCCAGGAAGATAATTGAGAGATCGTGGGACAGAACTGGGATGTGGGAAAAAGGGGCATTCTGATCATCCCCTCATTTCTTCCTTTGACCCTAAAGAGACATATGAGCGGCTTGAGGCTGACAAAAAGAAGCAGGTTCATAAGAAGCGGAAGTGCCCTGGGCCCATAATCACCTATCATTCAGTGACAGTGCCACTTGTTGGGGAGCCGGGTCCCAAGGAAGAGAATATTGACATAGAAGGGTGAGTGAATCTCCAGAAAAGAGATTGTGTGTTCAGCTCGTGTTCTCTTAGCCCCATTTTGCTTGCTTGTCTCACACAGCTCTCCTTAACACTTGGAGATTTCTTTCAGATTCCTCACTCCCTTCAGCTCATTTTCTTTTTTTTTTTTTTTTTTGAGGCAGGGTGTCACTCTGTCGCCCAGGCTAGAATGCAGTAGTGCAGGCTCGGCTCACTGCAACCGCCATCTCCTGTGCTGAAGCAATCCTCCCACCTTAGCCTCCCAGGTAGCTGGGAGTACAGCCACACACGCTAATTTTTGTATTTTTTGTAGAGACAGGGTTTTGCTGTGTTGCCCAGGGTTAAAGTAATCCTCCCGCCTCATTTTCCTAAAATGCTGGGATTAGAGGTGTGAGCCACCGCACCCAGCCCAGCTTATTTCTTTCTTTTTTTTTTTTTGAGACGGAGTCTCGCTCTGCCGCCCAGGCTGGAGTGCAGTGGCCAGATCTCAGCTCACTGCAAGCTCCACCTCCCAGGTTCACGCCATTCTCCTGCCTCAGCCTCCCGAGTAGCTGGGATACAGGCGCCCGCCACCTCGCCTAGCTAGTTTTTTGTATTTTTTAGTAGAGACAGGGTTTCACCGTGTTAGCCAGGATGGTCTCGATCTCCTGACCTCGTGATCCACCCGTATCGGTCTCCCAAAGTGCTGGGATTACAGGCTTGAGCCACCGCGCCTGGACTATTTCTTTCTTATTCCTTTTTCTTTTAGCTTCTCTCTTCTCTTTCCTGTTTTTCCTTCTAGCCTAGCTTTTTTTCCCATCAATCACTTAGTAGCTTCCTCAGAATGTTCCCAACACCCTGCCTCCTTTTTCTCTTTCCTCACATCTGGTTTCCTTCTTTCTTTTCTTTTTTCTTTTTTTTTTTTTTTTTTTTTTTGAGATGGAGTCTCCCTCTGTCACCCAGGCTGGAGCGTAATGGCACGATCTCGGCTCACTGCATCCTCTGCCTCCTGGCTTCAAGCAATTCTCCTGCCTCAACCTCCTGAGTAGCTGGGATTATAGGCGCCTGGCACCACGCCCGGCTAATTTTTGTATTTTTAGTAGAGACGGGGTTTCACCGTGTTGGCCAGTTGGTCTCGAACTCCTGACCTCGTCATCTGCCTGCCTTGGCCTCCCAAAGTGCTGGGATTACAGGCGTGAGCCACTGCACCCAGCCTGATTTCCTTCTTTCTGTATCTGTTATCTTCTCTCCTCAGCTCTTTGTGCTTTTTTGTCTTTTGTCTTCAGACTTGATCCTGCTCCCTCAGCGTCTGCATTGACTCCTCACGCTGGGACGGGACCCGTCAACGCCCCTGCTCGCTGCTCACGTACCTTCATCACTTTTAGTGATGATGCAACTTTCGAGGAGTGGTTCCCCCAAGGGCGGCCCCCAAAAGTCCCTGTTCGGGAGGTCTGTCCAGTGACCCATCGTCCAGCCCTATACCGGGACCCTGTTACAGACATACCCTACGCCACTGCTCGAGCCTTCAAGATCATTCGCGAGGCCTACAAGAAGTACATTACTGCCCATGGACTGCCACCCACTGCCTCAGCCCTGGGCCCCGGCCCGCCGCCACCTGAGCCCCTCCCTGGCTCTGGGCCCCGAGCCTTGCGCCAGAAAATTGTCATTAAATGAAGAGACGTCTAGTCCTCAGAAACTTCTTTCCTGCCCTGATTGGGGCTCTTGCTGTTCCATCTCCTCTCCCTGCTTCTCCCCTTTGTCACCTCTGATCTTTGCCCTATCTTTTCTCTATTTCTTTCTCTTTTTCCCCTAGTTCTTACAGGTTTCGTTGTGTTTTTTAATCTAATAAAATAGAAAGATCCCTTTTGTCTGGTGTCCAGTCTAGGTTTGGGAGCAAGAAGTATTTATGAATACCTAAATATATTTGGGTCTTTATTTGATAGCATTTATTATGAGCTGTCGTTTCTAAATTGTATTCATTCCTCCAGCTAAATTATAAACATCTGAAAATTGCACACCAAAATACATCCTTATATTGACCTTCATATCACTTTACACTCACTCTTTTGAATACAACAGGCACCAAATGAGGAGGAACTGGCTGATTCTAGTCGAACTCCGATGTCTCGGACTGGGGCTTGTATGAAGGGAAGTGGAGGAGATGCCATGGCTGTTAATGACCACTAGAGGCTCTCAGGGCTGGGCAGGGTATGGGGGCTGTGTATATGTGATCTCCCACTACCCCCCACCTGGCCAGAGCTAAAATAATAAAATGCTGAGCTCACTGTTCCCCCACCCTCTCCCCCGGCACTGGGCTCCTCCTGCTGCTGGGACGGTGCTCTAGTAGAACAGACAGACCTACTGACACGGGAGGTGAGAAGGGAGGTGGCCACCAGAACTGGTAGGTGGGGGAGACAGGGGGCTTATGGATGAGAGCCCGGTGGGAGGTGGGGGGAGAAGAGTGGCTCCTATGTGGAATGATGTGGAGTGTGTCCCTGTCTCTGTTACTCTGTATATTTCTGCCACTGTGCCGTCCTACCCCTTAACTGTATATAGTTTACATTGTCGATGTGAGTGTCTCACATACTTTCTGGATCTTTCATATTCAGCATAGTGTGTATGTATAGCTCCTTGTGTATATCTTATATTGTACAAAATTGTGTGAGTTTAATATTCCCACTGTTTTTAAAGAAACTTTACTCCATTTACACCTATTGGTCTAGTGTCACCTTCCTGTCCAAAGCAAGGGACAGATTATGGGGACTCAGTCCCTTCTCCAGAGGCCTTACTACCCTTCCCCCAACCTGGAAGTTCCCCAACAGCTCCGAGCCCTTGTTTTCCCTTAAGATTTAAAATTTTAGCAAACACAGAAAATGAAATCTTGATGCCCCACAATAAAAAGGGAAATGAGAATGGGGTAAGAGACTGTCTCTTCCCTTTACACCCATTTTCCTTGCTTTTTTAAATCCAGTTTAGGAAAAAGCCTGGATTATGAGGAGGAGAGGAGGAATTTCCCTGAAACTCTCTATTCCCCCGCCCCTCGCCCCCTTTCAATAGGAACTGGGCATGGGACCAGCTGTGTTGGCAGGGCTTCCAGCAGCTGTGTTAGGGCAAAGGCACTGACAAGTGAGGTTATAGGGGAGGGGTGCTGCCAGGATTTCTCTGTCATACTATGGGAAGACAAACCCAGCTTAGATGTCTGGGATCCTCATCCAGGGTGGCTGGAAGCTGGGGAAGCAGAAAGGAGACTCTAGTTCTAACTCTAAACAACCTAATCTTCTCCAACTTCCCATCTTCAACTAGATTTCTAATCTCCAAGAAATTCAATTCAATGTTCTGCCCCCTGGCTGGTCTCTTTGTGTCCCTGCTGTGCCCCTGTCCATCTTACCATTGTCCATCCTTTTGTTCCATGTTCCCCAGGCTTTGTGAGTGCCACACAGTGGGGAGGGGGTGGGGGCCACCATGTCATCATATCAGAAGGAACTGGAGAAATACAGAGACATAGATGAAGATGAGATCCTAAGGACCTTGAGCCCCGAGGAGCTAGAGCAGCTGGACTGCGAGCTACAGGAGATGGACCCTGAGGTAAGGGCTCTAGCACAGGGAACCAGGGGCAGTCCCAGGCATTTGGGAACGGTGTTGGGCTCTGGGTGGCTGAGAATAGGGTTTGCTACAGGACCTAGAGGCCTAAGAAGGCCAGGGGAAAGGTGTCTGGAGATGTTTTAGGGAGCCCTAGCAGTACCTAGGTCAGAGGGGAGGTCTGACTTGCTCCCCAAAACTCATCCCTAAGAACATGCTCCTGCCAGCTGGACTGAGACAACGTGACCAGACAAAGAAGAGCCCAACGGGGCCACTGGACCGAGAGGCCCTTTTGCAGTACTTGGAGCAGCAGGCACTAGAAGTCAAAGAGCGTGATGACTTGGTGCCCTTCACAGGCGAGAAGAAGGGTATGGGGACCCTGACATCCATGCCTCCTCGTAGAACCCAAGTGGCTATGCTGTCTCTCACTTGTCCCCCACTCCAGCTTTCCTCTCACCTTCCAGCTCCTAGTTGCCTAGGGACTCAGATGCCCTGACACTTAAATGCCAGCTTGCACTCTTCAGTTCTTGAGAGATCAGGGGACTAGGAGTCCTGAGCTTGTACAGGATTCAGGCTTTCCAATGTCCCCTCGTGACCCAGCATTCTACCTCCTGGAGAAGGAAAGAAACCTGGAGGCCAGGATCTTGGGAGAAATTACCTCTACCTGAACCATCCTTCATCTCCCTATCAGGGAAACCCTATATTCAGCCCAAGAGGGAAATTCCAGCAGAGGAGCAGATCACCCTGGAGCCTGAGCTGGAGGAGGCACTGGCACATGCCACAGATGCTGAAATGTGTGACATCGCAGGTGGGTAGCTGTGGGAAGTTGAGGGTGACAGGATCAGGGGCAGGCGGATCCTAGTCATGACATGGGATTAGTGAGGAAGGGCCTCAACCAGAATGTGGATGTCTAAGAAAGCCTCAAGCAGTAGTTTCAAGCTTTTCTTCTTTGTTTATATATTTATTCATTTTTAAATTTAATAACACCTCAAGAGCAATTTTACAGGGATTGTAAAAGCAAATAAAAGTGGAACCATTGGGCTGGGCACGGTGGCTCACACCTGTAACCTCAGCACTTGGGAGGATGAGGTGGGCAGATTGCCTGAGCTCGGGAGTTCAAGACCAACCTGGGCAACACAGTGAAACCCCGTCTCTATTAAAATACAAAAAATTAGCCAGGCGTGGCAACATGCGCCTGTAGTCCCAGCTACCTGGGAGGCTGAGGCAGGAGAATTGCTTGAACCTGGGAGGTGGAGGTGGCAGTGAGCCAAGATCATACCACTGCACTCCAGCCTGGGGGACAGAGCAAGACTGTCTCAAAAAACAAAACAAAACAAAACAAAAAAAGTGGAACCATTCTGGCTGAAAAAGGAGAGTCACTACAGACTCCCTTACCCTCTAGTGGCTCCTAAGGGACCTTCCCTTAGCCCTTTCTCAATGTTTTAGAAACTACTGCCTTCAGAAGTTTATGGAAAGGACCCCTGGGGCTGAGAGAGGGTAGGGAACTTCTTTGACAAAGTGTAAGTGGTCAGGCTTTAAAAATGCAGCAGATTCAGAAAGAGGTAGGAGGGAGGCTTGGAACAGTTTCCTTCTCATTCCCTGTGACCCCTCTGCTTACCCTCTCCAGCAATTCTGGACATGTACACACTGATGAGCAACAAGCAATACTATGATGCCCTCTGCAGCGGAGAAATCTGCAATACCGAAGGCATTAGTAGTGAGTGTGTTTGGGGAGCATGGTCTCCAGGGCTCTGGGCAGGCAGTCCTAGTGTCTGGGAGAAGGTAGAAAAGGGTGAAACTGATGATTCTGGGAGAGAACATGCTGCATGAGTGATAAGAAAACCTGTGGAGTGCCAGGCGTGGTGGCTCATGCCTGTAATCCCAGCATTTAGGGAGGCTGAGGAGGGTGGATCACTTGAGGTCAGGAGTTCGAGACCAGCCTGGCCAACATGGTGTCTCTACTAAAAATACAAAAATTAGCCAGGTGCACACCTGTAATCCCAGCTATTATACTTGGGAAGCTGAGGCACAAGAATTGCTTGAACCCGGGAGGTCAAGGCTGCTGTGAACTGAGATTGTGCCACTGCATTCCAGCCTAGGTGGATAGAGCGAAAAAACCAATGGGGAGGAGATTGTGGGGAACATGTTGGGTTCCCTTCCTGCCCTCACTCACCAGGTGTGGTACAGCCTGACAAGTATAAGCCAGTGCCGGATGAACCCCCAAATCCCACAAACATTGAGGAGATACTAAAGAGGGTCCGAAGCAATGACAAAGAGCTGGAGGAGGTGAACCTGAATAATATACAGGTATTTGACTTGCATCCTCCAAACCGTAACTCTGGATAACCACTGACATCCAAGAGTCCCTTAGCCCACCATCTCCTATTCTCCTCTGGTAGGACATCCCAATACCCATGCTAAGTGAGCTGTGTGAAGCAATGAAAGCAAATACCTATGTGCGGAGCTTCAGTCTGGTAGCCACGAGGAGTGGTGACCCCATCGCCAATGTAAGGCTAGTCGACATCCCCAGCCTTCTTCCACATCTTACATGCACCCCTTGCATGGCTGTCATAAAGGGTTTTGCTAGGGAGTGCTATTCTCATCATGCCTTCTTAGGGCAGCCCTCATGGAGACTCCTACCTTCAGTGCCATGGTTCCTAACTCTCAACCCTCTCTAACACCCCCAGTCCTACTGCACATTCATCTCCCTGCTTTCCCCTGCTATCCACCCTGCTTTCTGTATCCCTCTAGCTCCATTTATAGCTCCTCAAGGACTCTTCTCAAAGAGCTGTGTTTCCCTCTTGCTCCTGTTCTTTCTTTCCTCAGTCATCTGTGAAACTGTTCCCTAATCCTAACCCAAGTCCCTACTACCCAGGCAGTGGCTGATATGTTGCGTGAGAATCGTAGCCTCCAGAGCCTAAACATCGAATCCAACTTCATTAGCAGCACAGGACTCATGGCTGTGCTGAAGGCAGTTCGGGAAAATGCCACACTCACTGAGCTCCGTGTAGACAATCAGGTCAGCCTTCCCTTCCCCTGATGTTAGCATTCAGTCTCATTGAGGAGTCTCCTCCCTGAGCCAGCCACTGGGGCAGCTATCTTATTTAATCTTGTTTGAATTCTCCTCTTCATTATCTCTATGAGGGAAGCCAAGTCAGCATCTCTCTTCAACCACTGTGGAGAAACAAGCTTCTTTGACCTCCCAAAGGGATCTGTGGTCTGGGATGGTAAACAGCCCAGAGAGGGTGACGGTCAGCTTTTGCCTCTCCCTCCCCCAGCGCCAGTGGCCTGGTGATGCAGTGGAGATGGAGATGGCCACCGTGCTAGAGCAGTGTCCCTCTATTGTCCGCTTTGGCTACCACTTCACGCAGCAGGGGCCGCGAGCTCGGGCAGCCCAGGCCATGACCCGAAACAATGAACTACGTGAGTAACTGCAGACATGAT